ATTCAATAAAGTAATAATCAATAAACAATTGCTGTATATGGTGCAGGAATTAATTGATTATTCAACAGATAAATTTTGAAACTTAATAATTATTTTAAATATTGTATATAATCGGCAATCTGAGCAATTTCGCTCTTTTACACAGGGCAACGAACCCGCCCTCCGACATATAAACACTAACATTGTTTGTGTGTTGGTTCCTAATCTTAGAGTTTCCTCGGTACAAATAATATTCTTAGCCGATTGTTACCACCACTAATTAACCGGGGTTATACTCAAAGAAAGGGAAGTCGTAATATGCTGTGCTATTATTAACATTATGATTACATTTTTATTACTGTACAATGGGTTTCATACTTTACAGTCAATCAAAACAATTCTTAATTGGAATTTCGATTCGATATTTCGAATTCAATGAACATATATGTAATATTAAAACCAATTTTTTAAAATTTAATTTCCATTAACATCTGATTCGATGCAGCTACACAGGTCACTCACACACATTTCTATTCACATGATTTTTTTGTTTCGTTCTTTTTTATAAAGGTTGACCGCTACTTATATGTATAGTCTATTTCCATGCCACCCAATTTGAACAGAATAAGATTTAACTTACGTAATGTATAGTACATGTGTATTGATACACAGAACAAAAATTTGGTCAATTCAAATAAATGCATTTATTTGAATTATGTTTATTTGAATTGAATAAATCATTTATTAAAAAATACAAGGTTTATTCGCAACAAATAAATCATTTATAAGAATACGTTCAGAAAAATNTTTCGACTTTCTGTTCAACTATTTTTTAATAATTTAAAAATTTATTATATTAATATTAATTGTATCCAACTCATACGGATGAATAATGAAAATTGCATAAACTTCAAAATCATTATTTAAATTACTTATTCTACTATTTACATCAATTTTCCTCACACATATTACGAAAAATGTTGTACGTAATTTGTGCGGACGATTTCCCGTACTCGTGCGATTGACTCGCACTCGTAGCCGATGCCAGTAACACGTGCCCTGCGATCACACTCGTGCGCTCAACTGGCACTCGTTCCCAGCAATTTCGGCCACTTGTACGCGTCAATCACAACTCGTGCGGGAAATGTTTTATTCCGCACTTGTAACGTAAATAACTATTGTTTTTCCCTGTTACCCAGTCACTTTGAAAAAGCATTCTGCTGCAAGTCAGGTGGTAGCACATTGTTCTTTAGTTCAATATGCACAGAGTTTTTGTAAATTAAGTATACGTTTGCATTTGTAGTTTATCATGTACATAAGAGAATAACTGAAAACTTTTATGGGACCAAACGTTTCTAGTTCTGATCACTCAAGTTGTAGTGAAGTTTTATTTCCACAATTTAATATAATCATGACTTTAATATCATTAGAAAAAAATCAATATGTATATGCATTAAATTTGAAAGAATAATGTCATTAAAAGAAAATAATTAAAAGTACTACAATTTTTATTAAGCTACAATAATAACTTTGTTATAAATAGTCGTTCTTACATTGATTTACGTTTTCCTGGTACAAGGCAATCAAAGTCGTACAGCTAATTTTTAAAAGATAATAATTAATGTGTATTAGGAAAATATTAAGACATTTCAATGGGTCTTATTTGAATAGTGTATCCAAAATTATAGCTAAAGAACTCATGAATATTTTGGCAGTTTTTGATCAATGCATTTCAGTACCAGGTACAAAGTTTTAGAATATAGCCAATTATTCACTGAATAGTCTGATCAACTAAGAGTTAATTTTTAGTTTACACAGTAATGATCACACAACTTGTTGGTTTGTAAAAATTTTACAAAATACTGGAGACTAATTTGTTAAATATTTCTGCTATTCTAATCCAACTACTATTTTACAATATTGCAGAAATTAACGTTTAAATAAAAAAAAACTGACTCAAAATAGCATATCCACCAATTAGTCCCAACTTTCCTCCATTTCTACAGCAGTGCTATTGGAAACCACAATTGGCAGTGATCGAGGTGCTTGAGCAGCAGAATTATTATTTTGAGGACCTGTGGATCCCGCATCCGTAGTTTTTTGCACAGTGCCAGATGGTGAGTCCCAATCTTCCTGTTCGGCTTCAACAGTATTAAACGTATTTGTTGGTAACTGATTGAATCCTTCGTCATTATTATTTCTATTGAAATTGTTTTGCCGGTACGGCCTGTCATTCTTATTTTGCCAGTCATCATTGTTCTTCCAATTATCTCTACCTCTTCTTCCACCTCTGTCGTTCCAGTTTCCTCTACTTCTCCTATTTGCACCACCACCCCTATCCCTTCTGTCAAAGGAGTTGTCAGCATTATCTCCACCATCTCTGTTATCATATCTATCATTCCAACCTCCTCTACTTCCTCGTCCGCCCCTGTTTCCCCTACCTCCTCTACCTCCTCTGCTTCCTCTGTTTTCTTTGTCGTAAGGCCTGTGTCTAAAAATTTATATAATTTAATAATTTAGCAAATTAAGATTTCATTTGTTGAAAAAAACTAAAATAAAATAAGAACCTGAAACTGCCTCTGAAATTTCTTCTATGCGATTCATTACCATAAGAGTCGTTGCGGTCAAAATTCCTTGAATTTCTGTGTTTATTTGAGTGCCAATTATTTTCGTAACTTTTATTCATTGGATTATCAGATGCCAGCCAGTCATCATTGTTATTCCCATAACTTTTACTAGTTGAATTACCTGATGCTAACCAGTCGTCATTATTTTCATGACTTTTATTATTCGAATTATCGGATGCCAGCCAGTCATCATTGTTAGGCTCAGAAGAAGATGAAACCACTGGCTGGACAGATTTTTCCTGAGGAGCCCCATCACTAGGTTCATCCCAGTTCTCTCCATCACCTTGTGCAGCAGCTTGTATGGGTACTGTATTTGATGTATTATCTAAGCAACTGCTGTTCTGTGAAGACTGTTCAGTTGTGTTGAATGGAGCACTAGGTTTGAAAAAGGGTAATCTAGTAGGTGCTGGTGCTGGCTTCTCAGTAATAGATGACTCTTCCGAAGGTTCATCCCAACTTTCTTCTTCAACGTTGGCAGTGCTATTGTTATTATCTTGAAAGGTCTTGTTCCTCTCAAATCTTTCTCTTGGCTTATGATCAAATCTACGATCTTGCCCACCTCCCCAATGATCTCTGTTGTAGCTATTATTATGAGGTAACCCAGTAGGTGCTTGCTTCTCAGTTGTAGACGACTCTCCTGAAGGTTCGTCCCAATTTTCTTCTCCAACGTTGGCATTGCTATTGTTATTATCGTGTAGGGTCTTGTTCCTTTCAAATCTTTCTCTTGGTTTATTATCAAATCGACGATCTTGCCTACCTCTCCAATGATCTCTATTATTACTATTGTTATAACTTGTACTGGACTGTTGGATTTCTTTGTTTGGATTGAAGAATCCCAATGAATTGGCAGCAGGCGTGGTATTTTGCGAGGTAGCTTCTGCTGGGTCATCCCAATTTTCTTCATTGGCTACTGTATTACTAACAAATGTTGGTCGCTGGTCAAATTGTTTACTTCTGTTGAAGGAATCTGACCGATTGTTTCTGAATGTGGAATTTCGAGAGTTGGTTGTAGTTGACCGTCCACTATCCCAATCGTTGTCAACACCAGTTGCTGAGTTGTCACGGCCAAAGCTATTGCTGGATTCAGGTTGCTGACTACTACTTCCACTTGGATTAAAAAAGCTCAACGTTTTCGGGGCACTCGTAGATTGTTCCATTGGCTCGTCATCCCAATTTTCATCATTTCCTACAGGCATTGTATTATTTGTATCACGTCTGTTACGACTATCACACACAGGTTCCCGATCGTCTGCTTTGTTGGCAAAAAATTCCATCGTCCTTGGAGCAGGTGTGACATTCTGAGGAGCAGTTGTAGCTGACGGCTCATCGTCCCAGTTTTCTTCATCAGCATTGTTGGAAGGTTTAGCAAGCGAGACCGGTATATTCGAGGCTTGTTCCGAGGAAGGCCTGCTTGGGGCGTCCCAATCATCGTTTGCAGCTGATTCCCAGTTGTTGTCAGCTGCAGGAACAGGAGAGCCCTGCTGGCTCCTGTCAAAGTTACGAGACTGAAAGCCTCTGCCTCGGCCTCGGCCTCTACCTCTGCCTCTACCTCGAAAGGGCTGTGATTCAGCTTCATAATTCCCACGCGGGTTCCGTGCATACCCGTTGATGGTGGGCTGACTGCAGTACAAAGATGGTTCAAGCCAGTCGTCAACGTTTGCCGGACTAACGTTGGCTTCGTAGCTGTACTTGTAGCCGTCAGTGACTTTTAAGGTTGGCTGGAGCGCAGCTGACTCGCTTAACGGTGGAGAAGCCAGATGCCCTAGCGCGACTTCCGGGGTCGCGGTCACGGGATCATCGTCCCAATTTTCTTCGACCTCAGCTTCTACCACCATGGCTTAGAACTATTCAGAAGACGAAACTTATTTTGAAGAGACGCAGACGCAGGTTCGCAGGTAGCGAGGTAGCAGAAATGAAAACTGATGATATATATAGGTAAATCAGTATATGGTACATGGTCAGGTATGGTTAGGGTGCCTGTACATGGGCGTCTTAATGTCTTAAGACTGTAAGCCAAACCTATGGCGGGTGATTCAATTCAAACCTTAGAGAATATATACATGGAGGAAGCATTGTGCTCCGACCGCGAGACGAAATAAAAGAGACAAAAGACAAATAGCAGTACAACCTTTCTCTCTCTTACACGCCTCTGATTGGTTGGCCCCCTTCCGTATACATAGGTAAAGTCGTGTCCACGAGTGGCGGTCGTGGGGGAACAGAGCAGATATATGTAACCTAAGCTCTGATAAAAAAAAACTTATACATTACCAGAGAATATAATTATATAGAATGTATCCTCTGTAAGTATAGAAGGCCAAAGCGGAATTCCGAGCAATACACACTAAAACAATAATCTTCCATTAGAAAATAATTAAAACAACAAAATTTGAATAAAAATTTTCAATTTTAATTAAAGCTCTCATACCTGGTTAAACACTTCATGTATGGCTAATGACTCAGTTAGAATGTTTGTCTTCGATAGCTGAGCGGTCAAGAATGCTCGATTAGCTTTTGCGCTCTGGGCTTGGAATCTGACCTGTGCTATTTTTTTTTTTTTTTTTTTTTTTTTTTTTTTTTTTTTTTTTTTTTTTTTTTTTTTTTTTTTTTTTTTTTTTTTTTTTTTTTTTTT